CGGGAGGACGAGGATGAGAAGCGGAATAGAAGTGGAACATGGCGGCTGGATGGCGCTGCCTCACCATGCTAAAAGTTGCATAGCGGGTGAGAAGGAGGAACAAACGAGACGAGGACAAAGACAAGCAGCGGTCCGTTGCAGGAAGGATTCCGTCGGGCAGTTGTAACTTGTGACTAAGAAGGCGTGTGGGAATGGGAAGGCAAGTGAGGTGCTGGTAAGGTAAGGTGAGGTAAGGTGAGGTGGTTTGCTCTTGTGCCGGGCCGTGTGCCCAGTCCTTCGTCCTTGGTCGAGTCGTGTTTGGCTGTTGCGGTGTGTGTTATCAACGGGTTGGGTATGTTATCGCCCAGGTCAGCATGGGCAGGTTGTGACAAAAAGGAAAAAGAGTCGTAGACTTCCAAGTTGGTCATTGCACCCGTAGTGTACTGCATTGTGTAAGGAGTGAGTATTACATAGGTAGAAGTAAGTGTACTATGGTACTAGTGTATGGTGTATGGATGGAGGAATGAACAGGAGGCGTTGATTAATGGTTGAATTAATTGTCGTATTGTGTATAACATTGATGGCAGATGGATATTGAGGTACATGAACCAACTGCTAAATAAGGCAAGGAGGGCAAGTACCTGGTAGCTGAGGTGCATTATTGCGTACTGCGTAAGGTAGGAAAGCAAGGAACGGCCCAATGGACGGTGCAGGACATCACAGGCAGGTCCCCTGGGTGCTGGGCGTGGGCTTGCAGGTCCGTCATTTCACCAGGGCAGCGACTGGCTCGGAGCGCTCAGCAGTCATCTCCTGCTGCTCCACGCGTCGACGGCTACTGGAAGAGAGGCGCCAGAGAGGACCACTCCTGGCACTTAGCGATGGCCCACTCGCCGTCCCAGGTACCTTATGCACCTGCAAACATGGATAATGCCCTGAGAGTGGACACCCGTCTGCCTTGAATCCTTACCTTCCTTTGCAGTACACCAGGTGAGGTATCTTACAAAGTACCTCAAGGCACTGGGCTGCGAACAGTTAGCAGCTATCAGTGCATACCATACCTACCTATCTTGCCCAGTGGCTATTGCACAAGAGGTACCTTTCCCAGCCTGTACTTTCATCTCGAAGTACCTACCTTACCTTACTGTGGAGGCGTATGTACGCAGTACGTACAGGGCAGCAGGTACCTTAGCGCAGGTATTGGCCCGCTTGCCATTCCTCATCCCCCCCAATGCTCCACTTGCTCTCATTCTCCCATCTTTCTCTCTTTTCAGTGTGTCTGTGCCTGCGCCTGCGTGTAGGTATGCTATTTCCTGCCCGCTTTTGTTTATGAAAAGAATACAGAGAGGGGGGGGAAAATACAAGAAAAATTGACAGAAACGAGGAAAAAGAAAGGGAATCAAGCAAGGGAAAAAGAGGTAAACAATTCAAAAGACACACCATAGCTACAGCAACAGCAACAGCAACGCTCTCAACACAGAACCAAAGATACAATAACAACTTCATACGGATACAGACAGACAGACAGACACAAGTAAAAGACGAGTCTTACTCGGTCGAATCTCTGTCACTGTATCTTCCCCCCCTCCTCGGCTGCCCTGGCGCCCCTCCTCCACTTACTACTGGCAAGCCTTGCCTAGGTCTCCAAATTCCCGATTCCTCCAAGACGATCCTCGCCCACCCTACCCTGCTCGACCGTCAGACTTCAGTCAAGACTCTGACTGAGAGAGAGAGAGAGAGAGAGAGAAATCCCGTCCAGGACTCCAGTTTCCAACTCAGCTAGCTTGGTCTATCCCGGTCTTATCCTCTCTGGGAACAACGACCCTGCTTCTTCTTCTTCTTCTTATTCTTTTTGTTCTCCATTATCCAGCCCATACGGTAGCAACCTGTCCATCCAGTGTCCACCCTCTCTATACTCGGTTTAGCTGCCAATTCCTCGACTTGTACTCTGCCATAGCACACAGAGACTGCTTTGTGCTCTCGTCTGGCTCTGCATCTGCATTGCTTTCCTCGTCGTCCATTCCTCTTTGACCTCTGCCCCGAACCTTGGACTTTTTAGACCACACCAAGCACCGACCGGCATCAGCACCGACACCTTGACCTGGACCTTGACACCTGGACCTGGACCTGGACCTGGACCCGGACTTGGACCTTACTACCTTGACCATCCGAGAGAACGAATGAACCAACTCCCACGGACACCACACACCACACTCACTACACACACCACACACCAAAGTCGCCCACCCCGTCTGCCCGTCCACCCATCCATCCATCCATCCCGTCTCCAATTCCACCCACCTTGCTCTCCTCCTCACCTTACCTTAACTTACCTCTACCTATCTACCTACCTTACCTACCTTCCTACCGGGACGGGACCTTACTTCACCTCACCGTGTCCGGGTCTGGCTTGATCTGACCTCTACCGCGTTCAACCCGCCCGCTTGCGCGCTTCTTCTTCCTCCTCCTCTTCCCTTCTCTTCGGTCCCCAGCGTCCTTTTCTTTCCATTCGCCTTCTATTCTGGTCTAACGGGGGGTTTCCTGGACCCATTGGCCATATTACTTGATTGTCCGAGGGTCAATCCGTCTGTGTGAGATCACGGTCGCTCGACGTGTGTGCGATTCTTCTTTCGCCCTGCCGAATACAGCCCTTTCTCTGTCTCGGGCCTCACTCTCGCTCTTCAACTAGACAACTCACCTTACGTCCACCACCACCACCACCAGCTCAACTCGCCAACGGCCCTGTCTAGGATTTCTTTACTTCGATTCAACCTTGCGCCCCTGTTCTCTCTCCATCCCCTCAATCCTTCTCTCTCTCTCCCTCTCCTGGAATCCGTCTTCTCTCTGCCCGCCGAGACCGCGACACAACCCACCCACCCACCCACACCTCGCAAAACACACAAAGACTCGACACGCGCATTCCTCACCATACGACCCGAGAAATTGGCCCATATGTCTTGACGATGCTCACCACGTCTCTCGAGAGCATCCACGACTCTTCCGCCCGCATGCCCGTCTTGGGCCTCGTAGCCGTAGCTTGGTTCTCCCGCGTCGAATAAGGCTCTGCAATCATGCAGACCGTTCCCAGTGTAAGTTGGATTGCCTTCATGCTTGCTTACTAGCCTTCGCCATCCACCCCGACAGGCATCCCCCCAACACCTGCTTGGTTCACAACCACGCGGATACTGTGTTGCGCATGCTTTCTTCTCCCGTAGACACACCAATTCTCGCCCTATATGGGTCTTCCTCATTTCCCATCTACTCCTCCATTCCCATGCTTTCCCGCACCCAGCACCGGTGTCCCTGATATCTTGTCCTTCTTTTGCCTGGTTCATCCCATCTTGCCTGCTGACTCGTCGCCTCATTAGCTTGTGGGAACTGGCACTGCCGTTGCTGCAGCGGCTGTAGGTCTAGTGTTTGCTCATCCCGACGATTCGAGTTCCACACAGTCTTCTTCCAACAGGAGGATACTAGTCTCAGACCAAGACATTCCTCCGAATCATCGACTGAGCAGCCCTCCCGTCTCTTCCTCACGGCCCGGCACCAGTTCTGTTGGCCAGCTGCCGACCCTCGACGACGCCCGCTACACGCCACTTCCCACCCACTTCTCCTTTACCTCGAACTCGAACTCGAATTCAAACCCAAACGACACCCCGACCGAACCCTCTGCGCGCCCCCGCCGTCCTCTCAGCTCTCACTTCAACTTTGCGCCTTCCATATTGCACAGTAGGAGAGCGTCCTACGTGAAGCAGGGAGACCAAGCTGCGCCCTCGGTCAATGAAGATACGAGAGACTCTGTTTCCTCCAGTGGGTCCTGGATGAGACGCCTGTCACTACGGCCTTTGTCACAACACGGAAGCATCAGATCGAGTTTGGGTTTCGATACCCAGTCTGTCGCTTTCTCTCACGGCTCAGCCGCTCCGATCCTTTCGCCTACCGGTTCTATTCCTCCGCCTCTACCTCCGAATAAACTGGTGAAGCGCCCGCCCTCGGCACACCAGAATGGTCCTGTAATGCGCCGTCGCTCCAGGACACACCTTCCCAGTCTTCGCCGACCAGCGACAAGCCACCAAAGATCTGCCACCTTGCACCAGATCAATTACGACGGAAACCACATCGAGCCCATTGCAGAACCGAAATTCTCCTTTGACCAATACCTACAGGAAGCAGGAGAAGGTCCGGTGCCACCGCGACCCGAAGACGAATCGACCTTGCAACAAAAAACAAAATCAACAACCAAGTGGACCTCATTTTTCCACAATCGCAGAGCAAATGTCATTGCACGGAGCGTGCCTGACCGTATAATTGACCGGAGTCCCAGCACCCGATCGGCAACAACAAAACGCATACTGGTACCCGACGGCCAAAAGCAGGATATTTACTTAATAAGGAGTGGCATGTTGGGAGACTCGGTTGCGCCCGTTGAAGAAGCCTTGGTTCTTGTCGAAGATCCCCCATCGGCGGTCGACGATACAAACGAGGAAGTTCATTGTGAGAAGGAAACAGAAGTAGAATCGCAAGAAGACAACACCCCAGCAACACCAGAAGATACCCCGACAAAGCGCACGCATCGATCGCTCACAATGCATTTCAACTCTCCGAATTGGATGCCAAGAGCTGGTAGCCTCCGACGAACGAAACGCGGGGCGGTATCCAAAGGTGGTGGTGGTGGGAATAAGCGGCATGTGTCTGCGCCTACGACGACATCCCCCGGCCAGGCGCAAGCGCAAGACAACAACCTTGCTGCGCCTGCAGACGAGTCTCAAACGTCGCCAAAGCATCACCCTGCCGCCAGCCTAGACCCCACTTCGGATACGCACCTCAGGACTCGCAGTCGCAACTCTTCGTCGCCCTTGCCGCCGCTTTCGCGTCTTTCCAGCTTCAACGTCGACGTTTCTAGACTTGGCTCCTCATCGGGAGGCGTTACTCCATCTCCCCGCTCAATACATCCTTCTGGCAGTTCCCAGGGCTCGGCAGCGCTAGCTGCGTATAATCGCAGCGCTACGACAGATCGCAGTTCGACCATGAACAGTTCTGATTTCGATGCTAGATTTATTTCTGGCGACGATTATGACACGGATTTACAGAGCGACACTGTCTTTGACTCGTTGCGAACTGCCGAATCCGATCGCAATCGCGCAGCGGAAACCCCACTCGACCACATGTTTGATGAGTCGCCCCCAAGCACTGCCGGTCATCCCAAGGCCAAGAGGCTGTCCATCCAGGAAATGCTCAGTCACTCGTGGGATGCCAATGAGAGAATCATGGAAGAAGACGAAAATATGCCGACGCCGGTACGTGTTCATCATGAACCCAGAATTCGTACCGATTCAGATACCATGGCACCGCGCTACAGCTTGGAACGCCCTTCGAATGAGTACTCGCTCGGAAGCAAGGACTTTGGCCGCTTGTCTATCGAAGACGATTTCGATGAAGATTGGGCACGCGACGAAGACGAAATGGCCTACAGCAACCAGCTATCGCCTCCTAGCTCGATGAACTCGCGTGGCGTTAGCCCTAATTTGCGCATGGCGCTTGCCAACATTAGCGGTAATGGCAACGCCGATGCAACGCACGACCCTAGCGAGAGGCCGAGAAGCAACATATTTGACTGGAGTGAACCAACCCAAGAGAAGACCGACCTGGGCAGCTCCTTCAGACCCAAGACCGCCTATGGAAAGCAAGACCTCGATATCAGAGGTGGTCGCGCCGCCATCCGGATGCGACCCTCAGCCATGCACGTCCGCAGCCAAAGTGTGCCAGTAGTCCACGATCCCTCAGACAGAGGACCAGTCAATCCCAAATTCGGCACCTGGGGCCTGAGTAGCAAGACTGTCAGCGAGGACTGGGACGATGACTTTGAGTTCGGTGGCAACGAGAGCGAAGACAAGGAAACCGAGAACGCATTCGCAATGGTCGTTCCCGCCTCCATTCAAGCGTCACAACCTAGCCTCAAGCAGCATTCCGGCCATATCAGAGAACTCTCGCTACTCGTCAACGATCTCAAGCGTCTGTGTCGCCATGGCCGAGATCTGGATATGCTCGGCGGCTCCAACGCAGGTCTCTGGGAGGAAGCCGAGGGCATCATTGCACTTGCATCACCTGATGAAGATGAGTTGGAAGGCATGGACGTGGATTCTTCCTCTATCATGAGCGGATTCGACGCTGCGTCGCCGGACCCCGTCGAGAAGGAAGACCCCTTTGATGAGGTACACGAGATCAACGTTTCAAAAACAGCCGTCATTCGTGAACGCCCCGCTGGTCGTAGACGTTCGGTCTTCTCTCCAGACGACGATATCTTTGGCGGAAACAGTCCTGCTCCGGATGAGCTTCCTCCGCCGCGGCCAAGAACGCCGGAAAATAACATCAATATGGGTGGCCACGACGTTACCGATATTGTCAGATCCGTTCTGGACGCCATGCAGCAACGATCCGTTTCCGATGCCGCCGCCCGCGACGATAAGCTGCACTTTGGCACCAACAGCCTCAAGGCTCTCGTCAAGCGCGCAGGCGATCTCCGGGACATCTTGTCAGAGGTCATACGCCGCGCAGACCAACTTACATCGAGCCCTGCCAGAACACCCCGGCAGCACAATGATAGTCCGGCCTTCACCCGGGTTTTCACACCAGACCATACTCCATCCCCATCCAGCCCGCCAAAGAAATTGCCTCACAGCAGAAGCGCAAATTCTGCACTCGGTCGTGGATCAGTTGACGCTTCACCGTCAAGCGGCTTACAACGGATGCAAATGATGACGGTCAGCTGAGATGAGGCAAGAGATGTTGAATCACAACATCTGAAGCCTTGACGGCGTGACGGCCCAAACGTCCTTTTCGGGCTACAACAGCCCTGTACATGTACGAACATTGTTGATTTTCTTGTCTGCATAGCGACGGTTTTAGGGGGGTTTTCAGTTGGGGGTTTCTTTTTGTCCCGTTTTCTTCACTCGACGCCGCCACATTCGACACAAAAGACAGTCCCGGCACTTTTCTCGACTCGATCGACTCGGCCGAATCCAGCGAACCACAAAATTTCTACACTGCGACATCTGTGGCTGGCAACAAGCCTTGTAGACAGATACATTTTCCAGCTTCTCCAGCTGGGTTTCCCTAACGCTTCTTTACTATTTTCTTACCAACGAGAGAAGGGTTATGACGACGTAATCATGTACGATTTCGCTAGGCAAGTCCTCAAGCCCAGGTTTAATGGAATGCCATGGCAGGACAAGCACCCTCTGGCGATGGAACGGGTGGATGATGAAATGGGAATGCGAACGAAAAAAACAAAAGGGCAGGGAAATGAAAGAGGGAATGGAATTTGGAATCAAAGCATCGAGCACGACACGTGGTCCACATTGCGAAGATGGGCCATGTGCCAAAACAGATATCTATCTCGTTTAGAGACCTAGTACTCTTTTCAGCAAGTTCTTGCAGTGGCATTATGCCATGGGTAGACGAAGAGGCAAAACAAAACAGACAGGATCAGTTCATTGGTCGGCCCATTGGTTATATATCATGGCTTTTTTACCCTCCTTTTTTTCGTACATGCTTTTGCTCCGCGTATGGCGGTCTTCTTGTTGCTTCCATTCCAACAACTCATGATCACGAGACTCTATATAATGGGCATACGCTTCTCCCCTCCCTTCGCCAGGCATCATGTATTTCTTGTTTGTTCTAGGGGGGCGGGGGCGCGTCGTAATGCCTGGCACGGATCAGCATTTATTTACCTGGGCTCATTCTCATTCGCATTCCTTCATTGCACTCACTCACATGACCTCTGCACTAGCGACTTTCTCAAAGCACACTTTCGGAGAACGATAGGACGGGAAAAGGAAGAATGGATCATGAAGGGCTATAGAAAGTAATGATGCAAGGAGCACCCGGGCTTTTCAATAATAAGGGAGAAGACAGGGAAGAGGGTTCCTTTTATTAATGAAATATATATATACACTAATGGGCTTTTCAGAGGGATGGTGACGATGGAGCATATTCGGATGAGATTAATGACGTCGCGAAGTAGGAACGAAAAGAAGGAGAGCAAGGAGAAGGAGATGATGTGATGAAGACGCGTACATGGGTTTAATGAATGGCACACATTTTCAGAGTTTTTCTCACGCAGAGGATCGGATGTGTGTGAGAATGTGACTGGTGCTGAAATCGAAAGTTGCAGATATTTTTGTGTGCGAATGAATTATAGACGACTCTCATGGACTGGTTACTAAATGACGAACTCGAGGGTGCAGTCGTCAGATTCTACTTTGCCGTATGAACGGAGCTGTCCAGGTTACAAAAAAAGAGAACCGAGTGTCGTGTGTAGCCCGTCTTTCTTCGAAAGTAGTACCTTTTTATTCCCATCAAGCAGACAGATGGGTGCATTTTCCTGACCGTAGTCGTCGTCGGAAGAAGCCCCCCCCCTCGTTTTGGCTGAGCATGATCGCTATCGTTGTGACCGGTGTCCGAACATCTCTAGTTTCTGGTTCTTCTTCACGTGATGGCTACCATGACAGGTTTATGATATGAATCAACTTCTTTACTTGGCTGTCTGGATAGATGGTAGACAGCACGTGCACTTTGGAATCGACACGGTGACTCGTGGTAAATGGAGAGAAGGGATCTTTGTTCGTTCGACTTCACTCTATTTCTGCCTATTTACTTTCCCTGTAATGTGGCCTTTCGACTCTTGACGAGTTGTAACATTCTGACTTTGGGATAAATCAACCGGGGATAATAAAGGGGGAGGGTATTACTACGATATAAGAATAATCAGGACACACATAAAAACACATACACACATGTTGATAATCCCGAGGGTCAATGTGAGAATATTTGAAGCTTTTATAGCTGCTAGACAAGATAGAAAGAAAAACACTGTTTGAGTGTGGGTGTGACTGCAATAGTCCTTTTAGAGAAAAGAAGGGAATTTCCCACAACCTCGCGGAAACAAAAATCGCTATGTAAAAGGACCACTGATTTCTTCGTACATCGTGTCATCGATTCCTTTCCCTGAGACCAATCTCAGATTCTGGTTCTTCCTGTTCTGGATATCCTTTTCCAATCTTTGTCCAAACACAAACAGTTTCCTCAGCCAAACTGGATAATCACATCCTCCTCCACAAACTCCTGAGCCACATCCTCCGCAATCCAGTATCGTCCACCGCCCAGAGGCGTGACGCTCCTGCTTCTGAGCTCGGCGCCGTAGACGTCGTTCCACATGGCCTGGCCGTCGAAGCTGACGAGGCCAAACGTGGACGGGTCGGTGCTGGTTCCGCCCGTCTTCTTGGTGCGCTTGATGCGCAGGCGGCGGGATTCAGGGTCCTCGGGCTTCATGGGCGTCGTGTCGTGCGCGTGGCGGCGGGGCTTGGTGGGTGGAATCCACATGATGCCCGTGTCTTTCGGGATCGTGACGACGGGAGCGGTCCAGAGGGGTACGACAGCAGGAGGAGCGGCGGAGAAGAAGATTGGGTTTGCGACGGCGGGGTCGCATACGCTTGTCGTTGCCACGGAGCCTGCGAGGGCCGGGTGAGTTGTCGCCGCGTTGAAGGAGGATGAGATGACGGCTCGATTGAGAGCCTCTGCCCACTCTGACGGGGTGGAAGCCTTCCGCACGAGACGCGGCGCAGGGATCGCGCCGATGGCCTCATTCAGGGCGGCTTCCCATTGCGCGGCCGTCGCCGTTGTGCGGCTGAGGGGCTCAGGTTGGGTGGAGGGCGGTTGAGCGGACATTTGGGATTTGAGGGAATCCCACCACGTCGGTTGCTTGACGGCGGGGACTTCGGGGAGCGGCTCAAAGTCCGACACGACTTCCTCATCGTCGGATCGTGTTGATGCGGTGTCCAAGGATGGCGTGGAGCGGCCGGATGTGGCACGGGAGCTGGGTCTTGCGACGGCGAGGGACATCCAGTCTTCAACACGGGTCTCTACGGACGTAGGGGCCCAGAGGCTGAACGACTCGAGCTGGGGCAGCTCCTCGGACGTGACGCGGGCGGCGGAGGGCATGCCGAGGCCGACGGGGAGGGCAGAAGTTGTCCTGAAGCACGCGCGCTTGTGGCTGGGGTTGAACAGGCCAGTAGACTCCTTGTAGACGACGGCGGGTCTCGCAGCCCACATGGACGTCGTCTTGCTCTTGCGCTGCTGCTGTGGCTTGCTCCAGAGGGGAGTGTTGGACTGGGCCACCTTTTGCTTCTTCGCGGGCGCGGTCCAGAGAGAGGTGCTGCAGATGACGGCAGGCTCTGGCAGACGCTCGCGGACGCGGGCAGGGGCGCTCATCTTGTCGAGGTAGCTTCCCCAGACACGGGCATCGGGTTGCGGAAGACCTGTTGAGGCGCGACGGCTGATGAACTGCTTTGGCTTGGGTGCCCAAAGAAGGGAGACGGGTTCCGGCGAGGAGGAGAACTCCTCGGCGGCGATGGTGATGACCATTGAGTCGTGCTTGGTGTCGTCGTTGCCCTCGGCTGTCTTCTCGTCTTCAGAGTCTTCGTACTCTGACTGAGAGCGCTCAGAGATGTACTCCTCGGCGAAGGACTCTGGGCGGTATGTCATAGGCTGGGGGAGAAGACTGTTCTTGGATGGGACCTGATCCGACTGGAGGAGACTGGCGATTTCCCAAAGAGTGGTCTCGTCGAAGCCGTCGTCACTATCTTCGTCGTCCTCAATATCAGACACTTCGTCGTCACCTTCTTCCTCGTCGTCGTAGTCGTCGAAGAAGGAAGAGGAGTATTCTTGAGCCTCGAGTTGCTTTGCGCGAGCTTCCAATGCGGCACGTACTGCAGGTCCACCAGTTGACATAGTACCGGGCATAGCCATAAACATATGACTTGGCCCACGCGGTTGGACGGTGGCGGTGTCCGACTTCTCGCCCCAGGGGAACTGGAAGATACCGAGCGTACCTCTCTTATCAGGAAGGGGTTGCGGGCTCTCAAGAATATCGGGCAACAGTGTGACACGCTTGCTACGTCTTGGTGGACGTTGGGTCAGGGGACGCTGGGGCTGTTGGAAGTTATCCTTGACGGGCTCAGGGCTCCAAGAGACACGCCAAAGTCCGGAGGTGGGCCGTAGCTTTTTAGCAGCAGTGTGATCGGGCTGCCAAAGTTGCGAGCTCACGATATTTAGGGGATCGGAGACCTTGCGTGTCGCAGGGCGAACGGAGATACCAGGTAAGGCGTCGCCCTGGGGGGAAGTAACTTTAGACGCGACGCCATGGTTTGCGGGAGGAGCCCAAAGCAGCGGTGGTTCGCGCTCAAAATAGACTGGCGAGTCGGGTTTCCACAGACATTCTGGGGGTGCGGGAGCTCGCTCGTTCGGCATGAGCCTCGCGAGTATCTGAGCGTTGACACCGTCACCGCCGTCGGACTCCTCGTCGGTGTCCGGTGGGGTAGGACTGCCAAGCTGCAACGCCGCCGCAGTCGCACTCAAGGGCGCCTTTGAGACAGACAAGAAATTGAGATTTCTCTTTGCCAATAGTTCAGAAGCGTTCTCCATATACTCCATTTGAGCATCCGCAAGTCGCTGTTGCCAGAGACTGGTGCGATTGTTGTTGGTGCCGTCAGAAGAGAGGGAAGACGCGCTTAGCGTCCTCAGATCTTCAGATGAAGACTTGCTCATGCTGCCCATCCGAGCGCGGCGGGAATTGCGCCGATCTAACGCAATGTTATTGCGCTGGGGGATATCTTGCAGCGACTCGTCAATCTGAGCAAGGCTTCGTGAGTTGACAATTGCAGATTCGTGTTGCGAGTTGCGGACCGACGTCGTCCCAACTGTCGACATGGAG